GGGGATCTCGTGTGCCAGGCGCACTCAGTAGCGCTGGCCGCGGGCCAGGGGCTGCCGGGAACCCGCCTGCCTGGGCTACCCCCCCGGGCCCCGAGGGAGCGAGGGGCGGAGAGGTCTGGTGACCTCCGCACACTGGCCCGCAGAGGGGCGCGGGGCTGTGATTTCTGGCCTGAGAGCGGCGGGGTCAGACCTCCCTGGGAGCCCCGGCCCCACGCTCCCCCCGGAACTGGGGTTCCCGCCCACCACCAGCCCACCGCGGCGCCGCCCCGGCACGTTCCTCCCCAGCCCGTGTGTGGGCAGCGGAAGAACTGTCTGTCGTCCCCGGCCCGGCTCGCAGAGGGCAGGGGAGGGACCCCGTCGGGTCTGGAGGCTCCCACTGCCCAGCGCCTTGCAGGACCCTGTGCGCGAGCCGAGGAGGGCAGGACGGAGCGGAGGGCAGGTGGCCGCGCCGGCGGGGTGGGGGGTGGCTGGCTTGCTGGACGGGGGCTGTGGCTTCCTGCCGCCCAGACGTGGCAGGGTGTCAGCTGCTGATGAGACGCGCGCGTCCCCTGGGTGGTGCCCCTGCGGCTTCCGATCTTTCCTGCGCGCTGTGTGAGCGTGGACACGCCGTGGCTTCTTACCTGACTGTTGTGCTTGGCAGCCCTGGGGCCTGGCACGGGGCTGGCACGAACGGCTTCTGAACGTGCCGGGCAGCCCACCCGTGGGAGAGCCGCTCCCTGGCCACGCCTGGTCACTTCACGCTGACACTCCCGCGGCCGGTATCCTGGGAGGACCCTCCGGGGTGGGGGGACCTCCATCGTGAGGCCTCCACGTCGGAGCGCACGGGAGCTTTTCCGTGACTGGGGTGTCATGCCTGTGTCTCGCCACACGTCACGTGCTCAGCCCTGTGGCCCTGCTTTTGACCCCAGGCAGGCGCCAGGCTACGTGGACCTGCGCGCTGGGGAGGCCTCCGGTTCAGAGGAGGACAACAGTCTGTGGCCCGAGAGGATGTTGCGTAGGCCGTGGCGCTCACCTGGTCTGGGTCACAGCAGCCCTGCCCGGCAGGCCTCGCAACCCCCCCCCCCCCCGCCGGACAGCCCCCCGCCCCGGGCACTGCCGGAGGAGCACCGCGGCCCCAGCCTGCGAGGGCACTGGAGGCTGGGCTGGTCGCGCGTGCCGGGAACCAAGAGCTGCGCCGGGCCCACTCGCTGGCTGGATGCGAGCCTGTCAGTGCCCTGGGAAAACACTGGTTCGGCCCCAGGGGCCCCGGGGCGGGGCCTACTGCCTCTGCTTCTCACTGTCCTGTGTTTGAGTGGGTCATCTGTTGGTGGCTTTGCACGGTGACACTGGGGGGGGGGGTTCTGGGCGCTCCCACCGGGAGGCCCAGACTGGAGAGTTACCTCCCCTCCCTGGGTCTCCCTGGCCCCATCTATAAAAGCAGACTGCTGGAAGCTTCCTTACAGCGAGAGAATGTGCGTGGAAAGCACTTGGCAAACTGTCAGGGACGAAGAGAAGGTCAGGAGGAGAACGGCAGTGTGGGAGGCAAAACCCCAGTCCCTTTTTCTTCTGCCAGGAAGTGGCAGGTGGGCTTAGAATCTACAGGAAGACCTCAAGGAGCAGCCCCCCTGACCCGCCTTTAGCTTTCAGAGATTGAGCAAAAAAAGCTGGGCCCGGGCGGGGCGAGGCTCCCGGAGGCGGTTCCCGGCCGCATCCCGGGCTGGCCCTGAGGTCTCCCAGCGCCCACGTCCACGGCGCAGCAGCCGTGGCCAGCCATCCTAGCGGTGGCCCGAGGTGCCCAGAGATGCGGTCCTCAGAGGTCCCGTCACATTGTCCACATGGTGCCTGCCCCAGGCAGGTAAGTGGACACCCTGAGCGGCTGGGTTTCTTGCTAAGCCCCGGGAGTTGGTCAGAGTGCCCTGGGCGGCGCTCGGGCTACAGGTCCCGGCTTTGCGTGTACCAGCAGGGTGACCACAGCCGAGACAGACGGCACTCGGTGTGCCGAGCCTCAGGATCACCTGGGCTGTTGAAGCATACAGATCGCTCCCACACGGATGTGCCGAGTCAGACCCCTCGGGTGGGCGGAGAATCTGGGCTGTGACCCTCTTCCTGGTGGCCGTGGAGGTGGCCGAGGCCAGGCACCGGTCTTAGCTGCGGTCTCCCTTTGCTGTCTGATGGTGAGCCCGGCTTTGGTTGCTCAGACACAGGAAGCGGGGCTTCCACGAGATGGAAGGGCGACCTCTGTCCCGTTAAGGCTCCCGCGGGAAGGCGGCGGGGCTCTGTGAGGTCACCCTGGAGCCCCGATTCTGTCTTCTGCTGCCCTGCCAGCCCCCAGGGTATATCACCCTTCCCTGCGCAGTCAGCCAGCCGGGGAAGGGCTGCGGGAGAGAGTGGACAGACCTCCACTCCTGTCCCACCGGCCAGAAGTTAGCCCCACGGCCTCTCCCGGCTGCTGGGAGCGCTGGGCGCCAGGTGCCCGCCTAGCCCTGGGGGCTGGCTGGGGGAGCCGATCGCGGCCGCGCCCACCTCCCCTGTGGGCTTGCTGAGCCCCGCAGCTATTGTGTGCGCTGGCCACGTCAGCTGTGGGGGGGCAGTGGCTTAGGTTGGCTCCTGAATAAGGAAAGGCAGCCTGGGGTGTAGGGTCTCAACTGTTTGCGGTCCTAGACCTTTTGCGAGCTGATGAGAGCTATGGGCTGGTCTCCCCCGGCCCTCATCTCCCCAGGGTTCTGTGGCCTGTAGGGACAGAGCCTCTTCCTTCGTGGACAGCTGCCTGGGAGAGCGCCCCCCCCCAAACATGCTGTCTGGGGTCCTTGGGGACGTCCTGCTGCTCTCTGGGTCACAAGGTCACACTGCTCCCTAATAGGACCTGTAGGCCTTGTGTGACTGCCTCTCTGACCCAGGCCACCCTTCCCAGCGTGTTCCCCATGCTGCTGCCTGCGAGGCCGGCCTGCCCTGCCTCTGGGCCCCCCATGACCCCCCCCCCGGATAAGGCCTACTACAAACCTAGCTCCCAGGAGGCCTTTCTGACTTGGTTTCTGGTAGATGTAAAATGACAACTAGCGTAAGCTCTTCAGTGAAGCAGGAAGGCCACCGTCCTGTTACACACACGCCCCCCGAGCACCGCTGTTGGAGAGGTCGGCCCTGTCATGACATAAATCGCTGTCGGGTGGTCCCTGGGCTGTGCCGAGGCCAGGACCCATGCCCGCTTTTGCTCATTTGTGTATTTCTCCTCTCGGCCCCGGGAAGGTGCTCAGTAAACATCTGGAAGGGGGTTACCTGGAAACCCTGGAGACCCACACTGGCATCCCTCCAGCCTCGGTGCACGCACCTCAGGGGCCTTTTCTATCTTTCAGAACACCCAGTGCATTCCAGAAGGCTTGGAGAGCTACTACGCGGAGCAAGACTCCAGCGCCCGGGAGAAATTCTACACCGTCATCAACCACTACAACCTGGCCAAGCAGAGCATCACACGCTCGGTCTCACCCTGGATGTCCGTTCTGTCGGAAGAGAAGCTGTCCGAGCAGGAGACCGAAGCCGCCGAGAAGTCGGCCCAGTGAGGTGGGCAGGTTCCTTACGATGTGTCACTTGAAGGTAACAAAGGGACTCGGAGGGACGTTTCATTAAATATAATTCCCGATAATTTAGAGGTCGCTCATTTATGGTGCAACTGCTTGTTTGCTGATGCCGCTTTGCAAATAAACCTTGCTGCCAGCCGCCTGCGGGCCCAAGTGCATCTCAGCACTGCTTAAAGAGCTCTGACACCACTTTCCGTGATAAGGAGTCTTAATTTAGCTACTTTACTGGGACTTACTGGATGGTATCAAAAAATAAATTTACACCAGATACGCAAGGGGTTTGGATTCAGATAATGCATTTTGTGGACTTTGTTTACCACGCCCCCACCCTCGCTGTCTGCAGTCCTTACTCCACAGCCATATTTAGAGGGAGCCCCACTTTGCTAAGAGCAAGCTGTACTTCAGAATTTCTTCCAACCTCCAATCAGGCGGCAACAGTGCCGTCTCCAGGACGCATGGTAGTGAGCGGTGTAGAGAAGGAAGGAAATAGGGCAAGCGCGCTTTCCCCGTGCTCATCCCTAAGTTGCAAGTGTCCCGCAGCCAGGCACACTTGGGGGGCTCTGTTCCACGCCCCCACACACCGGAGTTGGCATCTTGGTGCAGAGAGCACCCTTGTTTCGCTCCAGTGCATGCAGACCGTGTCCCAGCATGTGAGGTGAGGGGCTATGGAAAGCGAGGTCCCTGGGCCACGGGCTCCAGGACTGTGTCAGAAGCCCTGTAGGTAGTCCGTCTGCTCTGTGATGTGTTGAATAGGAACGAAACCCCTTTGGTCTTTATGTGCTCTTCTGTTATGAATAAATTCGCACCAACAGCCCTGTTAGCCCTGTTAGCCCCTAAGTTAGTTTTCAAAAACTTATTTGTGTTGGAAAAGTGAAAATGTAATTGCTGGGGAACCAAGACTAATTTTTATTTTGTGAACCAGAACTCCTTTGATGTAAGAAGCAGGCAGGAAAGGCTGGGCGGGGCTGGTGTGGCAACTTGCAAACCCACTGATGACATTTCAATTCACAATCTTTGTAAGAAAATGCTATTTCAACCTGAATCTTGACATTAAAGTATATGTTTACAAAATTGCCAGTTAGATAAGTGTATAAGACGATTAAATAGAAAAAAGACATATGCAGACCTTTTCTTCCATGTTATTTGAATGTGTTGTTTCTGGTGGACATGTCAAAAGTTTCACTGTTTTTTAGTAGATCAAAAATAAATGACAACTAGTGCAAGATCTGTTGCAAACAAGCCTGGTGGCCACGGCCGACTCCGTTACTGCTTCCTAAACCCGATTTTATTATCAAGGGTGTTCTGAAACCATGACCGTGGGCTCAGGGAAGGGGAGCGTGCCTGAGCTGCATGCAGCGAAGGCCGCGAGGACGCACGGCGAGCAGGGACCGTACATCTGTGAGCGCGGCCAGGCCCGTGGACATGCCCCACTGAGGTGACACACCCCTCTGTGCGTCTAGTAGACATTTTATTGATGTAAATTCACTCGCAGGTAACTTCTGACACTTTGACTGGGCACGCAAGGAACACAGACTCGTACCGCACACGGGGGAGCCATCCGCACGCACATGGGGGTGCGGCCCCGCGAACACCTGCGTGCTTTCTGCACAGACGTGGCTCCAGAAGTCTTGGGCTCCCCACTGCAAACAGGCGCTCCTGTTTCCTCGACGGTCAGGCGCACAGTCCAGGAGCCGCAGGCCAGGTTCCTGCTCTGGACAAAAGCTCCTTGGGCCCCAGGGGCCCCTTGCCAAGTGGCCAGAGTCTGTCCCCACACTTCTGCCCCACCCGGCAGGCAGGCGTCCGCTGCACATCTCTGCTCAGACCCGCTGACAGGACACGAAGGAGCTCTAGTTGCATTTATTACATTAACAGGGCAAAGGGGCGTTCTCTAGAATACGGTGACTATCACAGGGCTCAGGCAGATAAGACGCCACAGGAAACAAAGAAATGATCATTGTTGTGAAGTTACTAGCCAGCGCTCTTCCCGAAGCCACCAGAAGGCCAAGGCAGGAGCCTCCCTGAGCCCGGCCTCCAGGCAGCCCCTCCACATGGTCTCCGGTGCAGCCGGAACCGGAACCGCCCCCACCCCCACCCCCCACCTTGCGTCAGTTTCGCTACACAGGCCCCTTTCCCTTTGTGTTCCTTATTTTCTTTCTCAGCTACCAAATGGGCTTAAACCACAGGTGTGGGTGTCCCTTCGTGAGAGTGTCCATCTGTCCCAGCCCCCTTCCCCCCAACGGCTCATGATACAATCTGCTCGCAGCCCCGCTCCGCTGCTGGAGACCCTCAAGGGCGCGCCGTCTGCCAGGAGCAGCGGGGACAGGCTAGCCGTCGTACCAGTCCAGGAAGAGCAGGGAGAAGGAGCACATCACCAGGAAGAAGAGGACCCACACGCGGAAGCCGGCGTTGTTTTTAATGGCCTGGGGCGGGGGGGGGGGGGGGCAGTAGCTCAGGGATTTGCGTCACCAGGGATTTTTGCTTTCAGAAGCACTCTCCCTCCACTGGGCTGTAGGTGCACTGCTGGGCCTTTGCTTACCGTAGTCACTCGGCAGGACCACAGAGTGGGTTTAGAATCCATCAGCAAAAAGGTATTTCCCTTACCCGCTGGCCCTCACTCAGAGATCCTGCGCCTTTCTCCCAAGAAACACCCAGAAATGGCCCACGCGTGTCCCAGGGTTAAAGCCACACACCCGACCGGCCACGGTCCCCCAACAGTACAGTGGCAGTGGTGGCCCATCAACCCAGCCCAAGCCCCACGCTCAGAGGACAGAGTCCGCTCGACAGAGCCCACTGTGGTGGCCCCCAAAAAACAGGGACCAGGGCCCTGGCCCTCGGGGTGGGGCAGGGGCGCTCAGCAAGCTTCTCCAGCAGCGCCCACCCCTGGACTGAGGGAGCTGGTCCGGCCCTTGCCAACAGTGACCTCATGCGCCTCAAGTGGCTCCTCTGGAGGCCGGTGAGTCACAGCTCTTGGTAACGGCGGGGGCCCAGGGTTTGGTGGGGGTGGAAATGGGACCGTCCGGCGCCATCAGGTGGGGAGCCCTGGGGGCTGGGCTCCAGCAAGGCGGTCAGGCCGCCCCGACTCGGTGCCACACTGGGGAGGCCTGGGGGGCCCAAAAGTTCTCACCTCTCTGATGTCTTCATTACCCTCCTTGATATTCTCGGTTGCCCCGACAACTAACTGGTGAATGCTGTCGATCTCGGCTTCCTGGGGAAGGAGAGTGACAGGTAGACCCAATCTCTGTCTCCTTCCCCAAGCGTACAGACATCAGAAGCCACCAGCTGCCACTTAACGAAGGGCCGGGACTTTACAAATATGAGCCCGTGAGTCCTCATGGTGCCCCGAGGGGTAGGCAGCAGCCCCGTTTTGCAAAAGGGAAACTTAGGGTTCAGAGAAGTTCGGTAACTTGCCCGAAGTCACAGAGCAACCAGGCAGCAGGACCAGGACTAGAACCCAGGGCCTGTGCCCCCTTCCACCCCCAGCTGCGACCTGCGGTGCCACGCGCCGGGCAGGAAGGGACGAACACGAGAGCTGCCGACTACACGGTAGCCACCACAGGCCAGGGCCTCCCCCTCTGGTCTCTACTCTTTCTGACGTCCAGAGACGTAAGCTTCCACACACGTGTGCTTTAAAACACATGCTAGAGAAGAAAGGGCTAAAATGTACACACATTGGCTCCCACGTACTGAGAGGCTGCCCTGAGCCAGGCGGGGGCCTGGTACCTCTAGGCCAGCTCTGAGCGCGAGGCAGGGGACACCCGACCCGTGCCGTGGAGGGCACCCCGGGTCGGAGGCAGCCCGTCTGACCCTGCTGGCCTCTGAGCGCTCCTCCCAGGCGCAGCTGCCTCTAGAAACAAGGCGTGTGCCCTGACACGGACCGCTGGCCTTGCTGGTTTAGGTTTAGGTGCTAAGTGAAGAGTTCCTTCAGTGTGCTATTAAAAAGGACAGCCCTACGAGCCTGAACTCGCAAACTGTTCGGCCTCGTGGCTGTGAGGTTTAGGGCAGGTTTTGTGAGTGGGGTATCTTAAGCCAACTAGCCCAGTTTCACACAACGGAGCCAAATGATTCTGTCTTTGAAACCCTTCCACGGTCTGCGGATGCGCCAAACAATCAGGTCTGTAACAGTTTTGCCAGTTACTGGCTAGAGGAATTTTAGCGGGGGAGGCAGGTACAAGTAACATGAAAATCCTCTCACGGGAACAATCCTGTCTGCTGTGTGGACGTGACAGCTGAGGGCACGGACCTGGCGTTCGGAGAGGGCCGAGTCTGGGCTCGTAAAGGTCGGCTGAGAAGCTACCACCAGCAGGCGTTGTGCCGGATGCTTCCTGTGGGTTATCTCTGAGCCTTACAACGGCCCTGCAAGGGTCACTCCACTTTACAGACGGGCAAACCGTAGCTGGGAGGCCACCCTGGTTACCCGAGGGCATCCAGAACGAAGATCTACCTGACTCCTCTCACCACGTGTCCCACTGCACGCTCGCGGTGAGCACTCGGTCTGGCCTGGGCCGGCCAGTGGGTCCAGAGCAGAGAGCTCCCCGCCACGCACAGCGGCGGCACCAGGGGGACGAGAGGCCCTCCCCCGAGGAGCCCTCTGAGTGCCCACTGGCCAAGGCACACGGCTCTGGGTGCTCGGCTGCAGAGATCAGGCAACCTCTCGGGAAATACCCGGACTTCACAGTATATTCTTTTAAGCCAGAACTTTAAACGATAATTTTTTTTCTTTCTTACCTGTTGTAAAACCTTCTCTGTGAATATCTCTTGGAGTCTGGAAATTTCAACCACTCTCCCTTCGATTTGCCTTCATTAAAAAAGAAAAAAAAGTCACAGACAACCATTAGTACTTGGTAGTCCTAACAAGAATGCTACACATTTCTAAAGGGACCGTCTAAGTGAGAAATGGAGGGGACACCACCACAGCCTCCAGAGAGGGAGGGGGCGCCATGTCGGGCTCAGGAAAGGAGATAGACATTTTACTTCCTGACTCTCCGTTGAAGTCTCTCAGCTTGGGGGCGTGTACCACAATTTAGAAACCTGCCCTCCCCTCTCAGCTGACCCACTGTGCCCCTGCCTTGGAGTCCGCACCCCTGGTTACAAAAGACAGTCTTCTAGAAGGCCTGTACCCAATCTAGTAACCACAGTAACATGGTGGGGATTCAAAAGAAACCACCAGAATGTGCTGACAACTCAACTTTGTTACTGCTCAGTAGGTTGAAGGAGAGCATATTTGTCACTCAAACCGACTTCCTGTTGAAAGGAAAAACTATGATTCCATCTGAAAAATATGTCTGGGTTCAGCAACCAAGTGTCTGAGCTTCTCCCTGTTTCAGGGCCAGCAAGGGCGCCCCCGGGGGTGGGCTGGGGGCTGGAGTAGGTCTAGAAATGGGGACGGCTGAGCTCCCAGCCCAGGAGGCCGCTCTTAAGGGCAGGAGGCGGCCACTCCTCCCAGAGCTTCTAGGCGCGGGAAGGGAGAGCGAAGCGGATGGGGCCAGGGACGATGAGGGCGGAGTCTCAGGGCAAGGACCAGGAGGCCCACAGAAGAAGGGCGAAGGCCACAGAAGAGCACGGGAGCTGTCAGAGGGAAACTCCTGCAGGCGGAATCCCCAGGGCTCTGTGGGTACAGCGCCAGGATGCGTTTTCTTTTGGGATGAGCCCACAATGCAGCGGCAGGGTTTCTGTGCCCTGCAAAATCCCAGGCCTCCCGTTCGGATGGTTCAAACGTTCTCCGGGAAACAGGCCCCAAGCGCTTCCCCTAGAGGGCCGGCCAGCGATGGTTCACATGGGCGAACACAGCCACTTGCCTTTGGTGCTGCCGACCCCTTTGCTGCGGGAGCAGAGAGACCCTGGCAGAGCCAAGTGCAGGAGGCTGCCCCGGCCAGCGGTTCTTCACGAGGCCCCCATCTCACTGGGGAGTCATGAGGTGCAAACAGCCCCCACATGGGGCACTCAGTATCTGGTGCAATTTGCAGTCACTGGGAGCAGCACGTGGGGGGGGGGACCTCCCACGGGCCCACAAGCTGAGGGGAGTCAATAAAGTTGGGCAGCTGCCTCGACCCCCGAATGGCTCAAGGTGTGGGGGGGTGCTTGTGGCCAGGGCCACAAGTGGATGCCGGGGCCCCAAAGTTAGTCAAGTTCCCAGTTTCTGGGAAAGCTATCACATAGGCCATCAGCCCAGAGAAACCACATACACACCTCACTTCATCAAACAGGCTGTTCATTTCACCAATTAGGCGCTGGTTTTCTTGTTCAAACTGCAAGGAAAGAAACACATTAAGGATGATGTCATACTCAAAACAACACAGCCAAAGGCAAGCATCTAGCAAGGCGTCTGCACAGAGATCTTTGATCTGCCCGCTAAGGATCGCCACTGAGTCCCTCTTTCCGGCATCAGCATGACAACATCCCTGTGGCTAGACCTGTCCCCGCCTGCAAGCCGCCCTGATGCTCGCGAAGGTGAGCCACGGAGGCGCGGGCGCCCTGTCATCCTGCCCCTGCTCCCTTCCGGCTCCCACGGGCCTGAGCTGCTGGCCTCTGGGCCCGTCCGTTTTAAGTGGAGCAGTGAGGCCCAGCAGCTTAGCTGGGAGCCACGCTTGGCCAGCCCACCACCACAGGAGCAGGGGTCTGGGGTCCAGAGGAGCTGTCCTGCCAGGGCTCAGGCTGGAGACCAGGCTTCAGGACTCGGTCTGGGTGAGATGCCACCCTGACACGGGGGAGCTCGCCAGAGCCCAGGTGACTGTGGAGCAGACAGCTGCTCTCCCGGCCCTTCTTGCCGACTTGACCCTGGCCCAACAAAAGGATGGCGTGTCTGAAGCTTCGCCATGGTGTGGGGCCAGATGATATCCTCCCCCCAACCTACAGGACCAAGGACCCTTCCTTCGCATGCCCACTCAACCCACAACTCCTCGCCCATGTCCCACAGACCCAGCTCCAAGGCCACCTCCTCCGTGACCTATGTTGGGCCCCTGAGCTTGAAGCTGTTTCTAATTTTTCTAACCTTGGCCTAGCACCTTCCGAACATCTCTTAGGAGATCTTAGGCCCTGTCATAAGCATGTCCCAAATGCCCCGTGTGACTAGGAGCTGGCTGAGGGTGGGAACCATGTCAAACCCGACTTGGAAAGGACCGCACGCCCATTCTTCCTTTCACATCTGTTAAAGCTGCAGCTATGTCCACAGCTACTTTTGGAGACACTGTCCGTGCCAGGCGCTGCATGGGGAGCAAATGGAAGCAAGCTCTCGCCATCCGGAGGATTTGCCATCCGACTGAAGATCCGGCTACCCCTTGCCCAGTAAAACAGCAGAGGGAAGAGAAAATGCTTATGGAAGTCACAACGGTCACCAAGGCCGTGCTGAGCATGTCACATGCAGGGACCCACGGTCTCCCTGCCGCCCCATCTGGCTCCCACTTCACGGGGAGGGAAGGAGCTGTGCTCGCTCACCTCTGCACCTGCCCACCCTGCTCCCTTTGCTACACCTCCTCACCCCTCCCTGCGTTTCCCCGTCCTCCCCTTGTGCTTCGCTCACTCTCACTCACTGGACACGGTGGGGGGGGGGGGTCATTTCCTCCTCTCATGTCCCTCCAGCCCTCCATGTGGGTGCCTTCCGTCCTGTCGCCACACCCTTGCTGCACCCATTCCTTCCCTGGCACCTAAGCTCTGCCCTCATCGTCTTTCAGTCTCTTCCAGTCTGTCCCCCAGTCCTCGGTCAGAGCAATCTAAGATGCTGGTCACATCACACCGCACCACACCGGCCCCGTCCCGTGGCCCTGCAGATCAGCGCAGAGATGCGGCCTTCTCCTGGAGCTTGCTGCCCACCCTCAGCACAGGCTAGCTGAGAGCTGATGGGAGTTCCCCAGCTGGTCCCTCGAAAGCCAGCCCAGCACCTTCCTAGTGACCAGACACATCAGGCAGAATTCATCACCTTCCTCCATCTCCTCTTGTAAAAAGCTCCTCTGCACTTGGCCCATCGCTACATTTCTTGCCCCTACTGGGGCATCTTCCCTCCTGGGGTGGGCCCTTCCCCTCTGGCGCCCCCATCGCAGGGCAGGGCCTGACACGCTCCAGGGCACCAGTCCCCAGCCCTGCTGCTTGTCCAAACACAAAGACACCTCCACTCCGAGACCCCAGACCCACTGGGTCAGAAGACTGGGGTTGGGGGGGCGAGCACAGCTTGCAGAGGGGCAGATATGCTGGGGAAGCGTCTGAAGGGCCGCCCCAGCCCCCGGCGGTGGGCTGCCTTGCTGGCTGCCCCCACGGTACCCAGACGGCCCTTCTCATTATACATGGAGCAGGCTGTTTAAGGGAATAAAAACTTCACTTTTGAGTTTGAAGGTATCGGCTCTGTTAACAGTTACTTAAGAGACCAGTATTTGGGGCGCCTGGGTGGCTCAGTCATTGAGCGTCTGCCTTCGGCTCGGGTCGTGACCCCAGGGTCCTGGGATCAAGCCCCACATCGGGCTCCCTGCTCTTCGGGAAGCCTGCTTCTCCCTCTCCCACTCCCCCTGCTTGTGTTCCCTCTCTCGCTCTGTCAAATAAATAAAATCTTAAAAAAAAAAAAAAAAAAGAGTCCAGTATTTAAGGAAAATTACAATTACTTAGCATGTAGGTACTAATTTACTTTCAAGAATTCTCCCAGGTACTACTCAGGGTTTCATGTACTTATTTTTGCAGGGGGCATTTTCTCATTTTTCTAACGACAAAATATGGCCCTGTCCTTTTAAGTCCTCAGCCCTTTATGCTTTTTAAACTGTTCCTAAGCAAGATTAAGTAGGGGTGTGAGGTGGTTTATTATTACTGGAATGTCCCCTGGGAACAAAGCTCTCTGTTTCCTCCCCAAGTCCAGGGCACGTGGCCCCCGCCGCACCTCCTTTAAGGCCTCCAGGTAACTGTTACTTCTGCAGGACTCCTGTCAGCAGCGATCAGGAGTGGGACCGGATTCTGGCCCTGACTTCCTTTCAACCCCTGGGTTCTTAAAGCCACCGAGAAGTACCCAGTCCCTGGAGGAAGTGAGAGAAACAAATGCCTCAAGGGATCAAGCAGCCATAGGGCTGAGGAGAGAGCTTTGCCGAGGCCAAGACCTTCAGGGAAAGAGGCCTCCATTTGGGGGTGGGAGTTACAATGACACCGTGTTTCCAGAAACAACAAAACCTATTTCCCACAGCCAAGTGCAAGGTAGTCACTTCATAGACCTGGCAGGGCTCAGGTAGATCGGGTACTGGCCAGGCTGCTGACAACATTCACTTGCACCAGATCTCAGGGTGGTTTCCGATGCTGTCGCGGTGGCAAACCCGAATACCTCACGTCTCATCTGCTGATAAGACAGGGAGCGACAAATGCTGGCTGGCAGGGGCAGGCGGTGGACTGCTTGGGACTTCAGTGAGCCAGCCCCTGTGGCCTCGCAGCAACTCCCTGGATAACCCTGGACCAGTCACTGGCTTCTGTCTGGACAGTCATGTGACAGGGCTTCCTTGTAAACAGGGGTGGTGAGGATGCAGGGGTGGTGAGGATGCGAGGGTGGGGAGGAATGGCTCCTCTACTTTCTAAGCTGTATGCCCTTGGGCAAATAACTTTCCTGTGCCTCTGTCTTTGTCACTGGGATGATAATAGTACTTAATTAGCAGCTGTTAAGAGGAAGATGTGCTAATACATGTAAGTTGCTTACAAAATGCATGGCACACAGGAAGCCCTCACTAAGTGCTCATTGTTATTATTAATCTCTCTGGGAGTGAGATTCCAGATACGCAAAATGAGTCATGAAATGCTCTGAAGGCCCCTTCCACCTCTCTGGTTTCAAACTTTAGAGGGCCGCTGTGTCTCCAGGTCATCTCACTCTCCCCAGCATGAGAAACGCTCACACAACATCTGTCCCCCACAGGGACGGGGACGTCACAAGGTGCAGGGCCTGGGCTCCACGGTCAGCACCAAGGACAGGGGTACCCACAAGGCCCCAGGAAGGCAAACCCGCCTGGTCTAAGATACACGTCACCCATCTCTGTGAGGCACTGGAAAGGGGGACGTGCGGCCTGCATGATGGGTAAGGTGGACAAGAAGGGCCCGAGAGGCATGAGAGTAGCCAGACTGTCTTTGTGGGCCTCCTGCCATGGCTCCTTCCACTCCATACTGTTTGCTCTCAGCACAGACACGATGCCCCCAGCAGCCTCCCCCTGACCCCTCAACCACAGTGGTAGGCACCACATTTAAAGGTCTAGGCCTTGGGAGCTCTCCATAAAATGGGGCCTGCAACAGTCCCCACCACATGGGGCGGCACACATAATAAACGTGGAAGTGCTCAGAGCAGTACTTGGCATGTGGTGTGTGTTACATGCGTGTTAGGCAGTATTATTTAACTGCTTTATTCCATTTAGAAGTCAGTTAGACTTCCAAATAGGGGGCCCCAAAAGGGTTTATAATCTGGTTTAAAGGATGCAAATCCACATTGTGAATACATTGTTACAGAAATCCTTTTCTAATCTAATCCTTTTTACTATAGTTTTAAAAAGAAAATCACTCGTACAAAGGCCTTTGAGTATAAAATGAGGCCAGAAGAGGTTATTTGCGTTGCAAAGACGCAAGAGCAGCTAACTGAACCGAAGACTATGAACCCACAGGGGCTCAGCCTAGAAAGCAGTCTGCCCCCCTGGCCCAGGACCTCTCAGGAGTCTTCAGATGTGATTTATCTGTGCCCAACAGCTTCATCCTCATGGCTCTGTGACCCTCCCCTCCCTCCTCACACCTCTGCCCCCGTGAACCTGAAACCTCCCCAGGGTGTGGACCTCAGCTCTCAGCTGTGTGGTGCCCTGATTCTACCAACAACTCTTGCCATGAGCGTGGCCACAGATCGAAAGCCTTGCCAGCCAGGCACCTGGGGCTTCCAGGGGCTACCACAGGGGACAGGGGCTAGGGACAGCTTCCATGTAGGTTTAAGAACAGAAGTCATAGGGCGCCTGGGTGGCTCAGTCGTTAAGCGTCTGCCTTCGGCTCAGGTCATGATCCCAGGGTCCTGGGATCGAGTCCCACATCGGGTTCCCTCCTCGGCGGGAAGCCTGCTCTCCCTCTCCCACTCCTGCTGCTTGTGTTCCTGCTCTCGCTATCTCTGTCTCTGTCAAATAAATAAATAAAATCTTTTAAAAAAAAAAAAAGAACAGAAGTCATAAGCACATCTTTAAAAATTATGCTAAGGAATACATCAATACATGCAGGTGGTTTCACTTGAGGCAAGTGAAATGAATGCAGGCTTAGAAAAGGAGGTATTTTCTCTATGTAACATCAGAAAACAATTTGGTTTCACTCAGCCTGACCACAAAACATCTGCTTATATTAACGCAAACGTTAATATACCTGCATCATGGGTTATAAATGGAAATTTACTGTGCAAATCATGTAACACTCTGCAACCATTTTGGAACATGTAACAACTGCTCCTATGGGTGAAATAATGAATTAAATTGATATTAGAGAGCTTAACTCATTATTTCACCCTGAGGAAAAATTCCAAAACAATGATTATGAATTATGACCAAAATCTGCTGCAACCCTTTCCAATTTAAAACCAATAGTGCCCTGCTTCTTTCTCTTCATGTTTAGGGTTGAGCCTGTTAAGTAAGATTTGGGTTGGCCAGACTGTTAGATATGGAACTTAGCTATCATTTCCAATTAAGAGAGAGGTTAACTGAACATTAAATAGGCGGCCATCAAAGTTCTGAACATCATATCCCTCTGCCCAATCCACTTGCAGGAACACAATACAAATTAGGGAGGTCTTGCCGGTTCCGATGGCCTCAGTCACCAGTACTGGGAACCCGAAATAACTAGCATTATTGGGAATGGTCAGTAGCATGTTTACAGTGACTCAGGACGGGACCAGGAAGTGGAAGCACGGGGCATCAGCAGTCATCATGCACAGAAAAGCTTAATGACGGGAATCTTTATTCCTCCTCTGCATTGGCTAAATCCCGTTCCGGAGATGTGCCGTGAGTGCGGATGTGCACGGGGGCTGACACCGGCCGAGCAGCTCCCATGGGCCCTGCGCGCTGCTGGGTACTCTTCCACAAGCTACTGCATTCCCAGCAGTTCTGTGGGGTGGTGATTCTTGCCACACGCAAGTTCACTGAAGCTAATTTTCCTGCCCCAAATTACACAGACAGTAAGTGATACAAAGAGGATTTGTAACCGACTCTGTCGAGTCCCTGAGCCCACGCACTTTCATCATCTCTCACTGGGATGGGGCATCAGTAGATTACAGACATCCTGGCTGCCAGCCTTCCTCTGGTCCACCCCAGCATGCGTCTAGAGGCTTCTAAAGGTCATGCATTGGCAAAGGTTAACAAACTTCTGCTGCTCACCACTACCCACAGGAGAAAGGCAAACTTCTCTGGCAAACAACTGACTCTTATTCTAGCTACCTCACTTATGAAGTGTATAAAAGGAAAGAAAAAAGCCTTAAACAGAAGGTAAATTCTGCTTATGTACAAATCATTCAAGAGACAGAGCTATGCATATTTTTTCTCCAGCAAAGAAATGCGGTCCTGTTACATTATTTGGGGGAACATGAAATCATTATTTTCATTAATAAAATTCTGTACAAACTGAAGAGAAACTGAGATTTTAAGAAACTTCCGCCATCATCTGGCTATAAAAGAAGGGAGTATGATCTAACTGTCCTTCACTTTCATTGGCTGGCTCCCCTGCCTCAGCCTGCCTCTCTGCGGAGCATCCCCAGGGTGATGTCCTTTGCCTCGCTCCTCTCTCCCCGGGATGAACTGTTTCAAACATCAGCAGTAGGATGCCTCCCATATTCACGTCTCTAGCCTGAGCCTCGAATCCCACTGCCCACCAGACACTTCCGATGGATGTCCCAGAGGCGCCCCAAACACACACCTGTCTAAAATGAAATTCGGCATCCCCTGCCCCACCCAGCCTGCTCTCCCTTCTGACTGCCAGCACTTTTTCCCAAGTCAGAAAACTCCAGGCTCCTCCTCCCAGTCCAGTCCAGTCCACTACCCTGCACCTCTCTCATCTCTGCCTCCACAGCTGTGCCCTGACCGACCCCTCGTCACCTCCCGACTACCTGGAATCCACACTGCAGTCTTTCCTTAGCCACCCTCCACATTCGAGGCTTCTGGCTCCCACGTCTGCTGGGCCTGGGGGGCACGGAGCACCTACTCAAAGTCAGAGGGTGCATCCTGGAACCTGGGAGAATCTGGAGGAAGGCAGGGGCCTGGCAAGCCACTTAAAGTTGACTTATTAGTTACTTAACTAAGAATTACTTTTGCCCGTAAAAAACAAAGACAGCTCTGCTGGTTTTTCCAAAACATATACCACAGGCTCTGAGGGTGTCCCCAAAGCAAGTCCTAGGCAAGTCACAGCTAATAGGACTATCACCGCAACCAGTTTTGTGCTTCTAAGGGGCTGATTTTAAAGAGGAACCACTCGTCTGGGGCGGGGAGTAAATGTTTGTGAAACCATATTGTATATAAAATACATACAAAACGCCCCTGAGCTGCAGTCCCCACCCACGTGACCCCTTGATGCCGCTGGGAGTGTGGCAGGCACCCCTCAGTCCCCTCCGCACACGTGTAGCTGTGACCCGAGCGTCGCGCCCTGGCCGGTCTCTTCCAGCCCGTGCAGCACAGCTGTGTTGCCACTCCGAAGGGGGAAGGCTGGGGGACCTTGTGAGCACTTGCTGTGTGCCTGGCCCCGTGACGCATGACCCTCCTGGTCGGCTCACTCAGGCATGAGCCCCACCGTGGGTCTGGCTCGGAGAAGAAAGAGCAAGTCTGGAGAGCAGGAAGATTCTGAGTCAGCGCTCCACCCCTGGCCGCCGATGTTCAAGAGAGCGGCCCGGCGCACCTGCCACCCTCGCGGGGCCCCGCCTGCAGACCCTCGCGTGTGCCATGCTCAGTGGAGCCCGGGAGGATGGCCATGTCAGTTTGCCACACGGCTCCAATACCGGCTACGCTCCCTTAGACCACCGGATCCCCCCAGGGGCTCCCGTGGACTGTGATACACGGAAGAGTGCAGGGTTTGCAGCCAGGGCTCAGGCCACAGGACGTGGCTTGGCTGTACTCGCCCTCTGGCCTTGGAGGGCTTTAGAGGTTTGGTGCCTTATTTTTTCCAAAGGTACAGAGGGATATTCCTGCTTCACTGGACTGTTACAAAGATTAAATAAGACAACATATGTAAAAGGCCTGGCATATAGGGGACATTCATGAGTATACATAATAGCAGTAATAACTTGAAGTGAGATTGTTCTAGTAATGCTTACTGATGATCCTGCCCATAGTTCTTATATGACACTCACCAAAGGCGCTCATCGTTCGAACACCATTCTAGGCTCTGGGAATATGGCCACAAAAACAGACAAGTTCCTGTTCTCGTGGAGGGATGAGGGAATAAAGTGGGGGGTACAGGGACAGAGTGGCTGGGGGCCTCTGCAGGCTGGGTGGTCGGGAGGGCGTCTCTGAGAACACAACAGTTGAGACCTGCAAGGTATGAAGACAACAGTGGAGAGAAAGAGTCTGGCAACACAGACGCCACAGACTCCAAGAGGCTCAAGGCCAGGATGAGACTGGATCCCTTTCTTACTTGACAGAGCTTTTGGCTCAGAGCTCTACTGCCTCTCTTCTGGAACAGGAGCTTTAGGTTAGGAATTGGGGAACTGAGGATTAGTAAGCTCTACCACTTGTTAACTAGAGCACTTTGGGCCAGACACTTTACCGCTTTTTGCCCAAGTTAAAAGGAGATGGTGATGCACCACCACCTCTGAGCCTGACTGTTAAGAGAATCACGGAGAAGATGATCCCAGCAAAGTTCCGTCCCCCGTCAACTGCTGCACCAGCTAAGGTGTTGTCACTTGTCAGGGATAGCCAATGAAATGCGCCAAGTGGGAGCCGGGTTGCCAGGTCCGTAGGCAGAGGACAGTGTCTCGCCAGGGCCGCGCTAGGAAACACCTGCTCCCCGCCCCAGGAAGACGGATTCCATTTGGCTCGATCACACCAACGTCTGAAGTATACATAGACACTGCTGTAAATGAGCTGGCAGGCGCTCTTGCCAGAACTATCGGTTTCCTTTTGAAACTCACCCAGAGAGGACAGCCTACGACTGGCAACTAGACCTTAGCAGTTAAGGTGTTACTCTTCATTTTTCGGTCATTACTTATGCGTTCTCCACATTAGCATGACACCAGCAATTCAAACAATTAAAAAGCACCACAGCAGTAATTATAAAAGAGCCATTTAGTCTGGAGGACTATTTTACTGCAGCTGAAAAGAAATCTAACATTAGTAAAATTATTCCAAGGCAATTTCTTCTTCAATTACACTACTGCAAATTTAAAACTTATGAAAAGCATATTAAGAATTAGGAAATCAAGTGGAAAAGCTGTATCTAAAATATTTATTTATAACTTTTAAAACCTGGTATAACAGTCAGAGCAAGGGCATTTAGGATGACCTCCTAACTAACACCAGTTAGCAACACCTGACTGGGCAGAGAATAGCCTTACCATTTGTATTTCTTCTGGGGATAATTCATCGTCACCTTTGCCATCTCCCCAGGTGCCCAGTTCAGGTTGCGATTCAGCCGGAACTTTCTCTGTTAAAAAAAAAAAGAAGAAGAAGAAGAAGAAAAGCAGAAGGCAAAAAACTCAGTTTAGGAGGCTGGCTTGGGATGCAGGCACGTTGTGAACATGGGATGGAACGGGATCGTACAGCTTTGTCCACCTCCGGTTACTGAGGCGCCGCACCATGGTTCTCCTATCATGCTTAGACGTGTGCGTGTGTGCACATGTGCGTGCACATGAGTGTGCACTCGTGTGGGGGGAGAAGGCGCCTCACGCACAGGGTCAGTGCCACGGTGATCTCAGCAATGGTTGCAGACCAAAGGGACAGTCTTCAGAACCAGTCGTCAAGAGTATTTTACCTCGGGCGCCTGGGTGGCTCAGTTGGTTAGGCGACTGCCTTCGGCTCAGGTCATGATCCTGGAGTCCCGGTATCGAGTCCCACATCAGGCTCCCTGCTCAGCAGGGAGTCTGCTTCTCCCTCTGACCCTGCCCCCTCTCCTGCTCTCTCTCTCTCATTCTCTCTCAAAAAAATAAATAAAATCTTTAAAAAAAAGAGTATTTTACCTCAAACCACAAACTGACGCACTCACGCCCTCCCTCTGCTTTCCAAATACTGCTGAAGATATGGGTGTTTTCATTAAAAAAAAAAAAAAAAAAAAAAAATACAGGAAATGACAGACTGCTCCCTAATCCTATTTCTCTCCCAGAAGTAACTATACTGTCGGCACTTTGACTTGACCTAGTGCGTTCACATACACGCAGAGATGTAACTCCCTGCCTTCCCCCCATACTTCAGTCTAGAAACAGTATGGAGTTTTGTGGGTTAGCATACTGTTCTGAAACTTGCTGTTTATGACTTCACCATATCTCGGAGATTATCCTACGTCAGTCACATAGATCTGCTTCACTCTTTTAAGCTGCTGCGTAACATTCCATTGTAAGGACGCACTGTCCCTTACGTAGCTGTACCTCCACTGATAAACCTTGGGTTATCTGGGTTTCTCCCTAGTGTAATGGTACCGTGTGCCAGTCCATCCTTCGAGCGCTCTTTGGTGTACTCCAGGATAGGGACCTGAGCACGAACTGTGGACTGGAGGTGGAGGAACGCTTTACAGAACTTTTTGACTGCAACCACACAAACAGGTGATGGATACTTGATGAAGTGAACCAACCGCTCAGGTTCCCAGGAAGGGCTGTGCCACCCAGGACCATGCTAGAGAGGCCTGCCTGGCTCGAAGGGGGTGCGGAGGGAATAGGGGAGTGGATGGAAGGGATCTGCCCCTGGTGCACACTGTGACGGGGTCTCTCTTTCTAAAGGTGACTTTGCGTCTGATGTCTCGCCGTGCTTCTAGGCTTGTCAGGGGGCTGCCAAGTACTGCTTCTTTTTCTTTTCTTCCTCAACCTCAGGAAATTTCCCAGAGTGAGCTCAGCCCCACGAGATGGGCAAAAGTCCAGAGGTTTTTTTTTAAGACTAAGGGAAAAGAACGTATGATAGCACCAATTTAGAGAAAGCAATTTAGGCAAACCCTGTGTATAAGGTATTACCATTCCAAATGCATCATCACAAAAAAAGTCTATGTCATCCAGAACACTGTGCAAGTTTAAAATAAATGGCTATTTTTGCTAGAATTATATTTATAAAAAACATTTATATATAATTTATATATAATATACATGTAAATATAATACAACTCATATATAAAAGAGAGGCTGAAGGCACCCATAGAAACTGGTGAGCTGTTTTTCTGACAGGACATCTTTAGGTAGGAGCCTCTGCACTGTTAACTCACCCTACCTCCACCCCTAGAGCCCTCTGTTTCCTATGTGACCTCATTATGGCATCCACATCAAGCTTTCACTCTGATGTCAAGGATAAGAACACCAAAATTAGGAACACAGAAACGTCATTCACATCAGCTCCAAGGATAACTGAGCTCTGAGCCGGAACGTCCAATTTGCTAAGAGGATGCGTGCTCGGCAAGCTGCTGACCTCAGTAGCTGTCGGGGGCCACCCTGGCCTGCTGCCGCGAGGACCAGCTTGACATGCAGCACTCGTCACACCGTCCTCTGTGCAGCCCTCCCGTGGCCCAGCGCCAGGACCCGTGCAGGCCCTCTGCCTGGCTGGGCCCCACCCGCCTTGCCCGCTGGAGGCCCCGCACTCCAGCCCTTTCCATGCGCTGCCTACATGCCACCCCACTCCACGCTTTCTGGCCTCTGCATATTTACACATGCCATTCCCTCTGCCTAGAATAGTTTCCATTTTAGGTCCAGACTCACTTCTCAGGGCCTCTCCTCCTCAAGTCCCTTCTGACTGAACTCTGTTCTTCCCACCTGTGCCCTCTCTTAGGGCACTGCTCACTTTCTCAGGGGCTGGAATCTTGTCCTTCCCATCAACTGTGAGCTCCCTGAGGGCAGGAACCATGGCTCATTCAAGAAGCGTAGGAAGTATTCACAAATAACCAGACCCATCTTAACGCTAGGAGAAACCAGTGTAAGGAAACAAACTATAGATGGGTACATGAAGGGGGCGCCTGGGTGGCTCAGTTGGTTGAGCGTCTGACTCTCGATTGCAGCTCCAGTCATGATCTCATCGTCATGAGATCAAGCCCCCGTTGGGCTCCGTGCTCAGTGGGGAGTCTGCTTCAGATTCTCTCTCTGCTCCTCCCCTACTCCCAGGTCGTTCCCTCTCTCTAATATAAATAAAATCTTAAAAAACAAAAAACAAACAACGGGTCCATGCAGACCCTGTGCTGGCATAGTAAGAATATGGAAGAAGGCGGCCTAAACATCTGACGAGGACAAAAGGGCTGTATGACCACAGAGCTGCTGGATACTGCTGACTAAATGAAAAGTAACCCAACCAGTGGCTTTTTTAAAAAACAGGAACATGGCAAGCTCTGCCTAGAACTATACCACCTAGTCCTATCCTGAAGTTCACGAGTTCCCTTACAGACCCACGAACAGGTAATAGATAAAGGTGGGATACAGCAATGGTAATAGCTTTCTTTTGGGAAAAAACAACAAAATTGAGGTATTTAAAAAAGATCTGTTATATATGCAGGAATTTGTCCAGACAGGAAATTGTGTACACTTTTAATATTCTGATTTTACAAGTCTTTGGGATTCCATGTAGCTAAGGAAAAGAGGACATAACAAGCATCACCAAATGATTTGAAGGAAAGGGTGGTCTGTGGAGTTGGGGGGCGGACAGTGAGGCTGAGCCGGCAGAAGCAGGCAGGTGCTAGGGTGCAGGGGAAAAGGCAGGAGAGCACTGGCCACAGGGCATCTCAGAGAGCATTCCAGGACCAAGATGGGGGTGGGGGAGTGTCTCAAGATGCAAGGAGAGCAGTAAGCAAAGGCAAACCAGTGACAACCTCACACCCTCCTCCCCACACCCCTAAAAGGTAGGTATCATCACCCCCATTTTAAAAATGGGGGAACTGGTGCTCAGAAGTGCCAGGAGGTGCTAGAGCTGGGACCATGACGGCCTCAGAAGAGACACTCTTCATACAATCCTGTCTCCTACGCGGGGGTCAGGAGCTAAACTGGAGAGCTCGCCCTTAATATCTGGTGGGCTGGCTGAGTCAGGAGACAACCTCGTGATCACAAAACAACAAATACTGACTTTAAGATAAAAATATAAATCGTGAAGAAGAGGGTTCTTTCATTTTGACGGTGTATTTCCTATTGCCCAGAGGCATGAGTTTCCTTCTACTTTAGGAAACACTTCCACAGCAACTAAAAGCAATCAGTGTTCCCGATCACCCTCCTCCCTCCTTTCGCTGTTTTCAGTGATGTACTGTTTCAGAGATTTATTGAGCATGTTCCATGTGTCAGGTGTTGTTGTGGGTGCTGGTGTTAGAGCAGTAAACAACACAGAAGCCCTGTCCCCACGGAACCTACGTTTTAGGAGGAGGGACAGATCGTCAAGAACATTCACAAGTAAAACAAACAGAAGGATGGTGGCACGTGCCAGGGAGAAGGATAAAGCAGGAAGACGGAAGTGCTGGGAGGCCTCAGGCCTTCATCCTCTCTTCACTCACCCTCATTCCGGGGGGGGTCCCAGCCTGTCTCAGGGGATTGATGCTGCCTACAGACCTGCCCCCTGACCTCCAGACTCGTAAGCCCAACTCCTTACTCTACATCTCTGCCAGGCATCTCAAAACTAACATGCCCGACCCTGCGTTCCTGATCAAACCAATCTCCCACAGCGCAGTGAAGCACAGCAAACTTCTCCCTTGTCAAAACCTCCACGACCTTCCTTGACCCCTCCTCGTTGCCTGTCCCATGTTCAGGAAGCCAGTGCTGTGGTTTTACTTGAAAATGTATCCAGAATGCCAGCACTTTCCCCCCACTCCCTGCTCCACCATTACCCTGTTTCTGGGGGACTTCAGCAACCTCTTCACTGTCCTTATTTCTCTCTTCAATAGAGCAACCGCAGGGGCCCTGCTCAAACACAGCTCATTGGGACTGTGCTCCGTGCAGACCTCCCCATGGCTTCCCACCTCCTGCGGAGGAAAAGCCACAGTCCTCGAGCAGCCTGGAGCCCTGGCATTTCCTCGCTTGCTGTCCCTCTGCCCTCTGCCTTGCTCTCCAGCCTCCGGGCTGCTCATCCACCATGCCAGGCATGCTCCCTTCCCGGGGCCTCCGCACGTCTGCTTTCCCCGGCCTGTGACACTCTTGCCCGAGAGAGACACAGGCTTCACCCCTCACGGCCCTTGGGTCTCTACTGAAATATCAAGCTCTCCGACCTCTCTGACAGGCCTAATCTCTCCTCTGACCAGGACCCTCTACTGGACAGCATGTACGATGACTGTATACTACACGGGTGTGATTATTCCACTAACATCTGTTTCCTGTAAGCAGAGGGGTCTTGTTTTCTACTCACTACTGTCCCCGGCAGCCAGCACAGTGCCTGGCACGGCAGCACTCCGTGTGGGCTCAGGGCTCAGCAAGGGCAGACAGCTCTTCGCCGGAGATCTGCCCTCAGCTGGGCCCCAAGAATCTGTAATGGCTTCTCCCCACTCTCCTCAGCCCTACCGCTATTACTGGAATGAATGAGTGATGGAACGAGTATGCAGTGTCTGGCATGAGTAAATGTAGACATGATATCCCTAGGTGTTGTCTTATGAGAAGCTGGGCCCCGTTAGTTCATGAGTGATGCTGGGGTTTTCCTTTATTAGGGACCAGTGGAGATGGGAGGTGTGCAAGGCCTCTGGCCTATGGATCAGGGCAGCCACCAGAGAGGACAGGCTCAGGCTCTATAAAGAGTGACCCAGGTGCTGCCCCTTTCTCGGTTTTGACTTTGGACAGGTTATACAATCTCTTCAAAGCTCCATTTCTGCACACGTAAAATGACAGCACCACCTCAAAAGACCCAAGGAGACTCAATCTGTTGATGGCCCAGCATGAGCCCAGCACAGTGGAGGGCTCATTAGATGCTGGTCTCCCCACCTCTCCCCACTGACACTGTTTCCAACCACAGAAAGAGCCCCTGGCATCGTTCAGGTGCTCAATCCCACACTGCATTCTGAATTCCCTCTCTTGTACAATGCAGGGTATAAATCAGATGGAGGGGCAGTACAGATCTGCATATAAATCCTGAATCTACCATTTATGAGTTTTTAAGTTTCCCAGCCTCTCACAGCCTTTCAGAAGGCTCATCTTAAAAACAGGGCCACCAAATCCATCCCAGGGGGCTGCTCTAAGGATGGTGGTGGTGTCTGTAAGGATTCAGGGCAGTGCCTGGCATCTGGGAGACCTGCAGGCAATGACAGTCACTGTGATAACACGGACGAGGGAACTGAGGAAGACGTCCGGCCCCCGGGCCCTCAGTATGCCATCATCCTGGCATTCGTGCAAAGCAAAATCCCACCCCTGCTACACTTGAGATCTGGCAAACTAGGCACGCGCTGCCTACACAGGGTGGCCACGCAGGGTCGGTGCTAAGAGGATGCTGAGATCACGGGACAGGGCACCACGTGGGGGCAGGGGAGGCAGTGCCCCACCTTCCCTGAGACCCCAGCCCCCACCCTGGTGGTGCACTGCAACTCAGGCCCTTTCCCTGGACTCTGCCAGCTCCTGGGCGGCTGGAGGAATCCTCCCGCCATGCCCCAACAGGCATCAGCTCCAACTGGGACAGAAAAAAGGCTGCCCCTTCTGTGTTTCCTTTGCTTTATGCAAGTACAAACACCGCAAGATGTCTAGGACTGGGTTCCTTTTTCTGCTTTGTATTTCTGCCAACACGTCATAAGGAAGAGATGCAAGGCAAGACTTTGGTTTCAATGCATACCTGGATATTCTTCAGTGACAGGTTTTTCTTCAGAGTCTTGTGAAGGATTCTGTGAAACTTTCTCAGAGGACATGGATTCTCTTGTCTTTGTATGTGGTTCTGGTTCCAGCTTAGATCTAAATAGATAATTAGCAATCATATAATTTGCTGACACAATAAGTTTCTATTCTGACAACAGAGGGAGTCACGTGTGACCCCTGCACACGTGTTCCGTGCCCTCTGCCAGAGAGCAGAGTTGCTAAGCAGTGTCCATCCCAACACCCGTCCAGCAGGGCACTTACTACAAGGGACCAGGGTCACCGCCTGCAGGGGGAGGACTGGGCACCCCCACCAAAGCTCACGAGGGGAGGAATGCAGTCAGTAGGTGCTGAAGGAAAGAACGCACAAGCCTGCCCTACATACTGACACCGCACTCAACACGCGTGTGGTGGAGGCTGACTGTTCAACAAATCCAGGACGCTGGTTGTTTCACACCAGTGCAAAAGTGTTGCTAAATACACACACGCACACGCCCCCACATTATGTAGTATATATAAGTAGTATCTTAAATAAGTTAACTATAAATATACAAACGACTTGTCTCAGGAACCAAGGCCTCTGCACTTGGCATCGGCCTCAGGGCCCCTCTTAGGGCTGTACTATTTTCCACCTTCAGGGCTAGGCTCGAGCTCACCTCACTCAGAGAGGCCTACCCTGGCTCTCCGATCTCAAGCAGGCTCCCCCATGTCACACTGTGCCATAGCCCTTGTCCTCTAGATAGGCAGTTACCAGCGTCTGGGATGACCTTGCTAGTTCACTTGTTTACTGCATGCCTCGCTCTGCTGGAGGGCACACTCTCAGAGCAGGGTCCTGGACTGTCGGCCATGGTCGCTGCACAGCCCTGGGTCCCACATGAGTGCCTGGCATTTGGTGTTTAATAAATAAGGTTGAATGAATGGATACCTTATAATGGTCAGTAATTAGCTAGTAGAAGAAAAAACTTGTTGATCATGAAACGACAAGCCTCGTAATAGCTTTCCTGGAGTCGACACAGCACTACAAAAATTATGGGTAGACTGCTAAAAAGATCGATGATGAATTCCATATTACAAGCCAGGAAGACTATACATAAAAGGAACAATGTAAATACATACAAGGATGATCTTGTTAATGCCAGCTAACATTTACTGAGGGCTTATTATGTATTGGGCATTTTTCTAAGCACGTTATATGGATAAATTTATTTAATGCCATACATCCCTATAAGGTAGGTAATGATACTAATGACCTTCTTACAGAGGAGGAAACCGAGGTATATGGAAGTGAGGAAACTTGCCCAGGTCACACACTTAGTCAATGGCTGGGCTGGGATGTGACTTAAGGAACCTGCCTCAGAAGCATGCTCTTAACAGCTGCTCCATGAAGAGTAGAGTCTACCCACCATGTTCCATGAAAAGGGGCTTCTGGTCAAATGAATCTGAGAAAACTGAGTCAAAGCTAGATGGGTATTTTACTCTACAGCTTTTTAGAGCCTTTATTATTATTATTTTTTAAAGATTTTGTTTATTTATTTGACAGAGAGAGACACAGCGAGAGGGAACACAAGCAGGGGGAGTGGGAGAGGGAGAAGCAGGCTTCCCGCTGAGCAGGGAGCCCGATGTGGGGCTCGATCCCAGGACCCTGGGATCATGACCTGAGCCGAAGGCAGACGCTTAACGACTGAGCCACCCAAGCGCCACCGATTTTTAGAGCCTTTAATAATGCTAAAATATATTCTGAACTTCCAAAAAGGATGTCTTTTCCAAATAACCTGTGACTGCAGAGACCATTTTCATGGGGCTTTTGGAAAAGACCAGGGTGCTAAGAAAGGCTGTTTAGGAAATGCTCTTCTCGAACATTCCTAAAAGAATTTTCAAAAGTAACTATAACATCAACCTTCCTAAGCATCCAGCGACAATGGCGGGGAAACAAATCAGTCTAAAGCTTAGTGCCTCGAAACAACAATAATCATCTACCATCCATCAGTGTTTCTGGGGCCAGACAATTTGGGAGTGGCTTGGCCGGGCAGTTCTGACTCCGGGTCCTTCCTGAGAGGGCAGCCGGATGCCAGATGGGGCTGCATCTCCCGAAGGCTTGCCACAGGCGGGAGGATCCCCTCCCAAGGAGGCTCGTCCCATGGCTGCCGAGCGGGTGACGGCCGGGAGCCTTGTTCCCTCGTCAGGGGTCCATGCGAGTGTCACTGTCCCCCCAGAGCAGGCAGTCCCTTGGGACTGGCAGAAGCATCAGTGCTTTTTATAACAGCCAGGAAGTCCCACGCTGTCATTTCTGCCCTACACCGCAGCCCAGGCAGTTACAACGGTCCCCTCAGGCTCAAGGGGAGGGGACACAGACCTCACATCTCCCTCCCAGGGGAGCAGTGACAAACTGATTTTAATAAGACCATGTGGGATGGGATATGTTTGGATGCAGCCATCTTTGGAAAATACATCTGCTACTCTAAGTTTCACAAATACACACAGAGATATAGTTATAAGGATATTGATCACAGCACTACTTGTAATAACAAAACAATGACTTAAATGTTCGTCAGAAAGTGCCAGGTTGACAGTGACAAGATTCAGGGAAAGAGAAAAGCCCATTTGCAATAGCCAAAACAAACGATAAAAAACTAACAACAACTAATATCACAGCATAAATTTAACAAGAAAAGCCAAAACCCATGTGTGGAAAAACTAAAAGATGTTCTTGAAAGATACAAAAATACCCTGTAACAAATGGAAAGAGATATCATATTCCTAGATGGGAAAAAGAAAAATAAAGAGATCAGTTCTCGTGGAATTTAAGAAACAAAACAGATGAACATGGGGGGAGAAGAGAGAGAGGTAAACCATACAACAGACTCTTAACAATAGAGAACAAACTGAGGTTGCTGGAGGGGAGGTGGGTGGGGGGTGGGCTAAATGGGTGATGGGACTGAGGAGGGCACTTGTGATGAGCACTGTGAGTTGTATGGATGTGATGAATTACTCAATTCTACTCCTGAAAGTCCAGGAGAAACCTAGATGCAAGCTTCCAGTTGTCTTCTCCCAGTGAAATACGACAGGCAGCACCTAATTCTCCCAGCAATGAGAACATGTGCACATACAGAGTGTCGTCAACCTGGAAAGCTCCCTGGAGCCTTGGCATCCAGCGTTTCACTGGGAGTCAGTCACGCGGCATGGAGCACCAAGTAGCTGACCTTAATTCCTCAGTCTCCAGTTCCTCCAGGGGTCAAATTCAAATAGTTTGGTCCAAGGCCCCACTCATAAATCACAATGTTAGCATAAACTCTCCGGTGTGACGGTCCAAGGCTCCAGGTATACAAAACAAAATACCCTCTTAGCAGGCAGGATATGCCAAGAGCTTGGAGATTATCTTCCAAGCACTGGCCCAGAGCCAGTTTCTTCATAATGTGCAGAGTTGGGACACCCTAATCCTACTGAGTGAACCTTCTCATGCACACCTTCTAGTCCCAAGTTTGCTGAAAGTTTTTATCATGAAGGCTTTATGATAACTTTTGGGTGTACTCTAGAGAAAGAAGTAACATTTTGCCAGGCACAGAAGGGCAGAAAAGGTATGGTAGGCCCAGGGAAGCTAGGAGTGGGGCCATCGGGGCACAGGATGGTCCCTGCACTCAGGAGAATTATTTGGCTATTTTAATAAAGACTTATTTTATACTTCCACAAGCCACGGATGAGAGTTCCAGTTGCGGCACACCTGTCCCCCGACATCTGTCATTTTTATTTTAGCCATTCTAATAAATGTGAGATGGTATCTTGTGGTTTTTTATTTGCTTTGTTGTGAAACAATCACATCCAGAAAGATCTTAAGTACAGTCCAAAGAACCCTTTCTCCTGAACCATCAGAAAGTAAGTTGTCAACCTGATCTCCCTTCACTCTATTTTAGGATTTCCTGAAAACAAGAGCATTTTTTGATACAACCAGAATACGACCATCAAAATCAGGAAATTTCACGTTACTACACTACTTCCAGTCTTTCCCTGGGCCCCATTCTATTTTGCCTAGTTGTCCCAATGATACCCTTTGTAACAGAAAGATCCAGTTCAGAATCACACATGGCATCTGGTTGTCATTTGTCTTCAGGCTCCTTTGGTTTAAGCAGTTCTATGGTCTTTCCCCGAGTTTCGTGACCTTGATGCACGATGATGTGCCAGTTATCCTGTAAGACATTCCCCAATTTGAGGGTGTCTGACCGTCCTGACGGCTGGATTCAGGTTATACATCTTTGGCATAAAAAAGTGATATTCTATTTACATTCTTCTCAGTGCATTCCATCAGGTTGTCCGTGATTTCACTTTGATCACCTGACTGAGGTGGTGGCTGCCAGGCTTCCCCACCGCAAAGTTACTCTTTCCCCCTTTGTAGTTAAGAAGTTACGGGGGAGGGAGTGCTTCGATACTATGTAATTATCAATTTCAAACCTTCAGTGTACTCACTTAAGTATTCCTATGGAGATGGACTCATGATGTCCTATTTTATTCAGTGGGTTATCATCTGCTACTATCTTTTATTTGATGCTCAAACTGTCTCTAATTTGGCCAGGAGAAACCCCTTCAAACTGGCTTGGTCCTCCTCGCAGGTTCCCATCATCCTCAGAGCCCTTCCTTGCTGTCTGGTGTGACAAAATGTTCCAGGTTCACGTCCTACTTTCCCTGCCCCAGCCCCAGACTGAGTCATTTCCACAAAGAGCCCTGGTTCCTGGAAGCTGAACCAGCTACGTAGAAGCCAAGGTCTGAGTGCTAAGCAGGCTTATGGCTACTGGGGTGTCCCTGCTTCCAGGCCCATTTGCATACCCACACATACATACTCATTTACAACCATATTTATTTCTATTTCTCCCTATGCAAACTGCAAGCCAGGAGTTCACACCGGTACCTTTCCTTCCAACCCAACACCACAGGGTTCATTCTGGCTTCTTCCCTTTCGCTTCCCCGACGGTGTGAAACCTGGCTTCCATCATCCTTGTGTATTTACTTATTTGACCAATCCCCCTACATAACCAACCTGTCATCTCCACTGCCTCTCTTCCCCCCTACAAGGGTGCGCCCCTCACCTTACTCTGGTTGCGACCTGCCCTGGGAGCCCGTGGCCCCCCTCCACCCCTGCACTCACCCACCCTGCTCTGCCCCACTCCATGGCAGCAGGACTCAATTGTTTAGGAAGAAGGGCTTAATTGACTTTTAAATAAAGGGCTCCTGTAAAGTCTGTAATCCTTTGTGTCCAGAGTATGCTAATGTGCCAGTTTTCAATTTAAAATGAATAAAAGACTGCAATGCAGCAGACAAAGCCGAGAGCTTTTTTTTTTTAAGTGATAAAAACAGATCTCATTACACATAGAATGTCTATTGCAATCCTCAGGGAAATTACAAATTAACTAGTTGAAGGCACTGTGAAAAAAGCAATTTTTAAAAACTCATCAGAAAGATCAGTTTATGCCCCATGATTTATTTAAATTGATTTCTCTAACTGAAGGCTGAGCATTTCATAGCTGCAATCAACACAGTTTCCACCTGACCAACATCTGTCTCCAGGTCCCTTATTTGACAACCTTGGGATTCTATTTAAAATTTAAGAAGAGGGCGCCTGGGTGGCTCAGATGGTTAAGCGTCTGCCTTCGGCTCAGGTCATGATCCCAGGGTCCTGGGATCGAGCCCCGCATCGGGCTCCCTGCTAGGCGGGGAGCCTGCTTCTCTCTCTGCCTCTGCCTCTCTGTCTCTCTGACTCTCATGAATAAATAAATAAAAAACATTAAAAAAAATAATAAAATAAAATTTAAGAAGAATAGAAAGAGACAGAAAGAGGGAGGGAATCAGACTTTTCAGTTTTGAAATAAGAAAATATGTGGAGGAAATTCTTGGACTTATACAAAAGTTCAGAGAAAAGTGGTTAATATTCCAGAGTTAAGTATGGCTCTTACACTTCTTTTCTGCTCCCAATCAAGGCTCTCGGTAGAAAGAAGATATTTTTGGTACAGAATATTACAGTACCATCATTGCAGAAGTGGCTTTCGGACTCAGGAATCCACTCCAGCACAGGTACTGTGCGCTCCCACAGAGCAGGACATGCCTCACACCACCGTGAGTCAGCTATCCTCACACCCACACACACATCTACTGGGCACCAAGCCCCTGCTGCACAAAGTGTGGTCCACAGACTGCTACCGGACCGCGAACTGTTACTGGTCCTGCTACGAGAGAAGTACAAAAACCAAGAGCAAGCTGTAGAAACGTTTATAGCACTTTGACATTGCCATGTAATCAGAAACACATCTGCCGAGCCGCGTACACAGTTCAGATGGAACTCCGGGGGCGGGATCGCCCACAGCACGGCTGCGAGCCTGACCTGACCTGTGCGGTGGAGTACGTACCCGCCCACGACGGACTGCAAACCACAAACAACAAAAAAGCGGTCCCTCACCTCAGAGAGCCTGTTGTGAGCCAGGGGTCAGCACGCTTTTTCTGGAAAGGGCCAGATGGTAAATATTTTAGGCTTTGTAGAACATATATGATCTCCATCTTGTATTCTTTCTTTCCTTTTTTGTTTTACAAACCTTTAAAATGTTAACAACCATGTTCAGCTCTCGAGGGCTGTACGATAACAAGCAAAGGCTAGACTTGGCCCACAGGCCACGGTGTGCTGATCCCCTGTTCTAGATAGTGAGCAGGACCAAATCATGGTGGGGAAACAGGGAGGGGCTGGTAAAAGGGCACAAGCTTTCAGCTCTCGGATAAATAAGACCTGAGGATCTAATGTATAACACGGTGACTACAGTTTCTAACACTGTATTGTACAACTGAAACTTGCTAAGAGAGTAGGACTTGAACAATCTCACCCAAAAGAAGAAGAGAAAAAGACAAATACGTGAGGTGACGCGTGTGCTCCTGAACGAGACGAGCGGAGCTGTTGTACCACGTGCCCGCGTAGCCAATCACCATAGTGCACACAGTCAGTATCTTACAGGGTCACGTCACTTACACCTCGGTAACTCTGAAATTTTTAAAAGGGACAAAATCATACTGCTGTGGACCTCCTATCACATCGCATCGCTTCGTGTCTTCCTTCACCTTTGTCGTCATCATCCCTAGCCTCCCCCCCACCCCGCCGCACTGGCAAAATTTATTGAGCTCTCACTGTGTGCAGGGACCTGGGTTAGGGGCTGAATTTTAAGATGCACAAGGCACAACGGTGCCCTCACCAAGCTTCCAATCTAGGATGAGGGAACTGAATCATAAACAATAACATGAGTACACTCTGCAAGGACCAACTAAGTATGCGGAGAGTATGTGTTGCAAGAGCACCCATGCCTTTTCTCAAAAAGGAGGAGGAAAAACGGAATGTAGGAAATTGAGATCTTTTGTACCAATTTAAGGGAGTAAATAATAAACTTAAGGTCATGCACCCAGCCAAGGGATCAGGCAGTATTTCCTGAAGTGCGTTTGCCCAGGATTCAAGGGTGAAAGGCTCCACAGCGAGCAGGGCTTGGGAAAACATAATCAGGGCACACGGCAACGTACAGACCTGGAGAACTCTGTACACTCAGTGTTCCTCAGACTTGTTTGACCACAGAAACTGTTTTTAGAGTAACACTTACTTAGGTCACCAGGATCCCCTCAGATACCTTAGGAAACTCTCACGTTATCCTTCATTAGAATTAACAGTAGGATCTGCTAATATTCTGGAAATTAACTTCGAGCCACACGGATAAATGCAGAAGGTGCCTCATCCTTCCTCCATAATGTTTCGTATCACCCAATGTGAGAAGAAACCACCATTTTTCAGGCAGTAGGTTTGATCCGTCTCAAATCTCCCTTTAGACAGGAGAAAATAGACAAAAGTTCCCACTCTAAGAACATCTTTGTACTAGTGGAAGTAATGTGTTCAAATCTGGGCCCAAACCAGCAAACTTTAAAGCCCGGTCACCATGGGTGGACACAGAATCAGATAACCCACCCCTGAATAAGAAAGAAATTGCACTTTAAAGAGACAGGCCTCATATTTTATGTTCAGATCTGTTCCGGGACCCCTGTATAGTCTATCATGCCTCCACAGACAATCCTCTGAACTCGCAGAAGAGAATAACAGAGGTCTGTTCTGGTTTCTAGACAGCCACCTTAAACCTCGTCCCCAAGGAAAAGCTAATAATACAGAACCGGATTCCTTTCTAGAAAAGGTGAAACGTTTCTGATTAATTCAGATGGCTTTTAGAGCATATTCCCAGGAGGGCATGTGATAGTTCAGTTATAACCAAAATATTAGTGCTTTAAGGTGGTTAGGAGGGTAACGGGCATATTCCAAACCCTTTTGGGACAAGGCCGCTCATGCCAATGTTGTGCCCAATGGTGGCCCACAACCTTTCCACCTCATACGCTCTTATTGTGTAGACCTGAGCCAGGAATGAGTGACCATGCTTCATTCTTTCCTTCATTCAAGAACCATTAACTGAAGAACCTACTTTGTGGCAGGCTCTGATCAAGGCGCTGGGACCACAGAGGTAGAAGACACAGTGTCCTTGCCTTCAAAGGACTCACGGTCTTAGAGCAGGAGAAAAGAAGAGGCATGAGACCCCAGTAAAAGTTCTCCCCAGCCCTGATGTCCAGCTGAAGGCAACTGGCAGCAGGCGCCACTGTCAACTCAGATAGGACAGTTGCTAGGGGGATGGGAGAAAAAGTCACACTTAACAATGGCACTACCTTTCTAAGAAAACAGAGAGAGAGAGAATGGCAGAAAGATCAGCTGAGACTGCTTCTGGCCTAATGAGCACAACATTTCACCCGTTTTAGAATAAGCGCCCTTTGCTATGAGAGATCAGCGTGTCACCACCACTGCATGAAAATGAGTACCAGCAGAGAGTACCGTTTTTCCTATACTACGAAAGATTTAAAATAAACAATCAGACAATTCCTTCACTAACAAATGTGCTTTACTTCTGTCAAAAACTGAAGAAACATGACAGTAGCAACCCAGCCATAAAGCAGGAGCACTGGGGTTTCTCGGATCTGGTTTATGAGAATGACTTTTATCAATACCTAGTACCAATCAAAACAAAATAGTAAAAAAAAACAAAGAACCCACAAATCCAATTTGACAATAGAAACTCTTATAGTCAACTTATCTTCAGGCACCCATTCATTCACTCACCCAGCAGCCCTCGGTGAGCGGCTTCCCCAGACCAGGATGGGCAACGTGCTGCGTGATGGGCTCAGGGGGTCCACCTGCAGCGCTCTAGGAGTATATGGGTTACACCGACCATGACAGTGTGCAGGGAACCCACATAGAAAGGAGTCACCAGCAAGGCCCACGGAAGCCAGGAAGTCTTTACAGAGCAAGCAACATCTTAACTGGGGCTGGAAGGATAAACAGGAGTTTGCTTGCCAGAGGAATGGGGAAAAGAGGGGCAGAAAGTACAGGGATACATGAAGGGCATTCTGGGCAGAGAAATCAGCAAGGATTAAGGCATGAGGACTTCAAAGAACAAGGCCTCTTCAGAACACAAAGTTACGTACGGTCAGAGCAGAGACCCACAGGGGCCGAGTAACAAACAAAGGCTGCCGCCATCTGCTCGCTGCGGGCCTTGAATGCCATGCCATCAAGCTGAGCTTTTGTAAGACATGGGAAGCGAGGGAGTGGTGAAATTGTATGTATGTTTTAGGCAGTCGTCTTCTGGGACAAGGTGAGGAAAGAACTAGAAGGAGGCTGGACTACATTGTGTGGGTCACATAGTTACTTCCCTCAAGGTCTTTTGCTCAAAGTAATTGGCACAGGCCAGCTAGGTGGCAGGAGACGAGCCTGTACTCGACTGTCGAAATGAGAACAACTCCCAACTGACCGATCTTAATTTGTCGAAGCCTCTGCTGAGAACCAGAAGTGAGGAGGCAGCAGCAAAAACCTCTTCCCACTTTTACCTGGGGTACCTGCTAAGTCTCAGGTGTCAGGGTCCGCTTGGGTGAGGGAGCAGAAATGAGCACCTCTCCCGCTGGTGGGTGGGGGGCCAAGTGACCACCACGCCGTGTAGATGGTAAGTCACCGATGACCAGGCCTGCCCTTCTCCTCCAGGACGGCTCTGGGTGCCCCTCCACCCGCACTCCTCCCCAAGCCGGGACTGCTTTCTCCCTCTGTCATCGCTTTCCCAAACCCTCCTCTTCCCGCATCCAACACAAAGCCCATTGCTTAAGAAAGTCTGCCCCGTTACCCTGGCGTTCAAACCTTGGTTCAGCTGTGTGATGTCGGGCAAGTAGCCCACATTCTCTGGGCTTCGATGTCCTCAATAAAACCAGATACTAGTATTTATTATTAGCAGAGTTGTTGTGAGGATCAAACGAAATTAACACACTGGCAAACAGGGTGAATGCTCAATCGTAGAGAACAGTCCAAATTAACATACGTTAACACTTAGAGCAAGCGCTTTACCTATCCCAGTGCATTTTGTTCTCACGACCCAATAAGGTAGGTATTTGGAATTTTTCCATCTTACAAGGGAGGAAACTAAGGCGAGGAGAAGTCAAGCGACGCTCCCCGAGTCACACAGCTTGTAAGCGGCAGGGGCGGGCCGTCTGGCTGGAGAGTGTGAGCTCTGTGGCGTGATGCTCTGCCGCCCCACAGCTCTACTTGACCCTCCTGAACTTGCTAATGGCTGTGACATATCCCGACTCAGTTGGCGAATTTCTCATGTTTCTATAGCAACCCAGCCTGACTCTAAGCTCCTTGAGGGCAGAGACTTTATCTCTTGCTCTCTGCCTATCCTCATCGCCTTGTTGTAATAAATAGTAATTATTTGCTGACAGATGACATGACCCATCTACTTACCATCCCCCCCAGACACAGACATTTGTTGGCACGACAGTTTCAAATGTCTCACCAGTGCACAGAGCAGTTAACACAGCAGGGCTCAGACCGCCCTCCTGGGCAAGGCCTATGGGCCGGCTCGGCCCTGGGCAGGTGCCTGGGAACTGGGATTTCGGGAGAGTTCCCATAGCCCTAACTGCTGAGTGGTTCCCTATGCCTGAACTGTCGTACGCACAGTGTGGTGTATGCAGAAACACCAGCCTTCCTGCCGAGAGTCTGGAATTTGGGCGTGTGCCAACGAGGAGGTGCCTCTGTGACCAGCCCCCCGTGAAATCCCTGGCCGGTGAGTTTCCAGTGAGCTTCCCCAGTGGGCATTTCACGCAAGTTGTCACAAGTCAGATCCTGTGTGGCTCCACTGGAGGGGACTCTTGGAAGCCCGCTCACGATTTCCTCTGCACATCACCCATTTCCCTCCGCCGTTTGTCCTGCACCTTTTCGCTGTAACAAATCCAAGCCTCAAGCTCCGCAAGTCCTCCTAGCGCACCACCTAACCCGGGGCTGGTGCTGGGGGTCTCGACACAATCAGAATTAAGAAAATTTGTCCCCAGGTAGTATGTACTGTTACCTTCTGAAAGAACACTCTAAAATCTTTCCAAGGCCAGTTGAGAAGTGGTCCAGAGGTGAAGCCTGTACCTAGCACTCCCTGCTCATTTTAAGAATCCTATCTCAGGCTGGCTGAGTAGCTGCAAGGGAAGCAGCTTTGAGTCCCTGTGCTCTAGAAGCTGGCGTGCACCCCGACGGGGAGGACAGGCTGGGGAGCAGACACGTGCCACGGGAGATAACCGAAGTCTGGCTCTGCTGCTTCCTAGCTGTGGGGACTTGTGCAAGTCCTTTAACCTCCTGGGGCTTTAACGGCCTCACCCGCAAACCAGCACGTGGCATCGAGTGCTCTGTTAGAAGGGAGGCGCACGCTGCAGATGACCCGAGGGACGCCTCACAGGGGAGCACAGGTTGCTATGCTCCAGCTCCTGCCTCAGGAAAATCCTTTGGGAGACAGCAAGGAGAGGTGCGGGGGGCAAAGAGAAAGATGTAAGATGGCTAAAACTGCCAGCCACACAGGGTCGCTAACACAAGACAGGCCTGAGCATGGATTCTGAACCAACAAATAGCCTGGGCTCAAAGCAGAGCTCTGCCACCTGCTGGCTGTGGGACCTTGGGGGCGTTACCCAGCTTTGCAAGCGGCAGCCTCCCCATCTGGAAAATGAGGATAAGAACGGTACCTGCCCCTCAGGGTAGGTGGTGGTGAGCTACCAACGAATCTAGCACAGTGCCTAGCACAACAGTCAGGGCTCTGTAAGTACTAGCTATAGCATTTTGTGAAGAAATCCAAGCACTCTATGTTGCAAAGCGTAAGGACTCTACAAACGTTAGCTGCTATCATTGCTATTATTAATTAAGGAACCCCAGCAGAGACAATACTTACAGTCTTTTCTTATCCACCACTCGTTTAACGCGGATGGCTCTCTGTTCTGAGTAAAGTTTACATACTCCTGTTGTAGGGAAAACACCAGAACAGAGACCATTTAAAACCGCTTCGCAGGCAAAGGATGTCATTAAGTATAAGGAGACACTACAGTCTTCAGCTAGCAAAGCTAAATTTGGCATCATGTCTATGGTGAAATGCCACATTTGACCTTTAAGATAAAGTGAAATACTTTTTAAGTAATCTTCGATGAAATCCAGAACCACGCTCCTGTGCTCCTTCACTTGCTGGGAGGGCATCTCCTTGTGCGCTGGAACACAAACGGACAGCAGTCAGGTCTCTGTGCTCGGCTTCACAGGGCAACAACTCATCAGCTTCCTCAGAACAGTTTCTTTATGGAAAGTATTTGTAAAACTGCAGCGATAAAACAAGTCTGTGTCAAGTGACATTACATTTTTAAAAGAGGAAGATTTATTGGGCTTCGCAAGAGTAAAAGATTAAACCTGTAGAAAAACTACAGTCAAAGAATTTATGGTTTATTACAGCGTGCAGGGATCGTACTGGATGCGCCCCACTTCTTGAGAGCTGATCCCGTTTGTATTAACAGCATCCAATGCTCAAGCTGACCTTCAAGTAACATGTTTAAATCAAACTCAAGCCCCACACTACCCCCCGCCTGTCTGGGCTGTTTTTCAGCTTGGAATGCTCTGTCTTTGCCCCTCAGCTACTCCCATTCCAAGGGCCCCTTAGACACAGAGTCAAACCTTCCTTCTCAAGGAAACCTTCCCTGACTCTCCTAGCCCTAAGGATGCCTGGCTTCTGCAAGCTATCACATCTGCTTCAGGTCTGTGCCATTTATTTTGGTAGGACAGCTCCCATTTACAGAGACACTGAGTGCCTACCACCTGCAGGCACTCCGATGGTACTTTACATATATGACTGCTAATGCAAAAGGCAATCTGGAGGTCTAGTTTACACACAGAGAAACTAATAAGGTTCAGAGTCAATAAGAAGCCCAAGGTCACATGGCTTGGTACTTAGTTGCTGGTTTTATTCATAATCATGTACTTCTAGGTTATTTCAATGAATGTTTAGGCCCTTAAGGGTAGGGGACATGAATCATGTTTTTCCTATTGGGCTGCTTAACCTGAGATTCACATGAGGGACTGTACACAAAATTCTGTGAGTATGTGTATTTCTCTGGCAAGAACGTCTATAGCTTTCATCAGACTCCGAGTAGCCCATCAGGGCTGTGATGATGGAAGCTTCCTAAGACAAGTCGGTGTCAAGAACTCAGCAGCATCTGGCCACTTGGAGGTCTGTGCTATTTAATGGAACCTGGATCTGCCTAAGCACATTATGAAAGGGTCAAGGAAGATACAGGACTGGGGAAGCTGTCTCACTGCCCTGGTGAGAATGGGACATGAGTGAAGACGATATGATGCGAACGACCCTCGTGCCACAGGCCAGGGCGCTAATCACGTGCTGAACTCACCTGAATTCTCCTAACAGCCCTAAGAGATGCACCCTGTGACTGTCGCCACTTTATAGACAAACTGAGGCGCACGGCAACTGAGTGCCTTGCCCAAAGCCGTATGGGTAGAACACGCTGGAGCTGGGGTGGACACCAAAGCACCCACGACTCCAGAGCCCTCCTCTGCAGCGTGATGGTCTGCTCCCGAAGTTTCCTATCCAAGCAGACGGCTGAGAGCACCCTCTCCCGTCCCTGTCCACACGCCGTTGACCACCGACCCTCTAAATGCCACACAGAGCACAGGGGCGCGCACAATCTGTCTGCTCTGGCCCTTAGGAAATGTCTGGTTGTGCGTGGAGGGGTCCTCCTCACCTCCCTCCTCCCACTGTTTAACTTGAATCACGGCCTTTTCATGACTTTTCACAGCTGATCAAGAAAAGAGGAATTTTAAGGTTTTGAAACCAAAATCTAAATAGCAACACAGGAGAGAACTTGAGCTGGGCGCGTGCTATGGATCCTGTCTGAGGCTTCACAGTCATGGCGGGCTGGCCGCGCCTCTCAGAGCACCTCACCTTGAGTTCTCAGCTGCTGAATTGCTTCAGAGCAGGTCCTCATGAATGTCTGCGCATCCTGGTCAATCTGGTCTCGCTCTGTGTCTGTCATCCTTCCATATTCAGACATGACATGGCTAAAAAAAAAAAAAGTGGGGTGTGGGACAAAATTTTACAGCAGCAGCAAATGACCACAAATGTCTGGATGGGGCGTGAAGGGAAGGGAAAGCTTTCCTACTGACATGACATTTAGAGGAGCTGGCCGGGCTAGGAGGTGGGAGAACTCTGCATAGCAGACCCCAGACCCAACAGATATGAAGGCCATGAGCAGGGAGTGGGGTCAGGCCTGAGCAGGGATGTGGGCTTCGACTGTGAGAACGACAGGGCAGCCCCTGAAGGCTCTCAGGGCACACGATGACAGAACTAGCAAAACATGAGGAGAACACCCTGGGTGTCGCACAGAGACCGTGGGGGGGCTACTATCGGGAGGCGCTTGAGATGTATGTGGAAAGCTGTTTCAGGCTGCCGTTTTTTCCAATGTTGACAAGCAGTCTTCAAGACTCACAATAATAGAGCTCTTAGAGACATTTCATTTTCCCTGATGTTAAGTTAGAAAACTCCAAAGTTACTGAGCTAGTGAGGGTGCTCACCTACGCTAATGCAGCACCCCGAAGCTCAAGCTATTCCGGTCAGAGTGCCCTGCTCATCTTCCTAAGAGCTGGGCAGGTGTGGCAGCACTATTATTAACAGTGACGCTAACGAGCCTAATTAAACACTCCGGACATTGTAACTGAAATTTAGAAACACAAAATATCAAGTTAAAAGGGACCTCAGATAATGTACAGACTCAACTCATTCCGCTCCCATCTACTAGCCCTGCCAGCCCCTCATCCTCACCGAGAATAAAATACAAGGTCCCGATCACCCCGACCCGACACGTGTGACCTACTTCCTGACACTCACCCTCCCACCCCGCACTCCCAACGACACTGGCTGCTTTGTCAGGGTCGGCCCCACGTGCTCCTGACCCTGCTGCAGCCTGGAAGGTCTTGCAGCAGGTGCTCTTCCAACAGATGTGCACATGCTTCCTCCCCATCCGGATCTCCTATCACAGCCAGCTTCCCTGACCAGCCCCTGCGCTCGCCCCCACACGGGCCACCATCGCTGATTCTTAAGTGCCTGTGCTGGATAAGGACATAACGGTCTCTGAGACCCAAAGTCCCCTTCTACTCTGCCTTGTGACACGGGGGCTGGGGCTCTCCAGACCGCACTGCTACCCCACTGCCATCTCTTCTCATCCAGCCTCATTTTCCTTACAGGCCTTACCGCTCCCTGAAATACAGGTGTCCAGCTCCTCCCAGGAGCATGTAAGCTTCAGGAAAGCAGGGGTTCTGTCCTTTTTCCTTTGTTTCCCCCAAACCTAAACTGGTGCCCAGCACGCAGCAGGGGAGCCGACAGTAGCTGAGCACTTAGCCTGCACCAGACACTTACTCTCAATGCCTTACATGTATTTCATTGACTTACTTAATCCTTGCGATTCATCCACTCATTCACTTCTATACTAAACCCCCATATGTCAGGCACTGTGGCGGGGTTGGGGGTCCGCAGTTGGAACAAGGCTTATTTCTGATCCCTGCAGAGGGCAGGCGCCAAATCACGGGGGCACCGACACAGAAAAAGGGGCACAAGGAACTGTCTGGATGGTGTTGGTCTGCAAGTGGACAGGGGGACCCACGGGGAGAGAGGTCAGTGCGTGCAGGGGAGGTGCCAGGCAGGCAGAGAGGGAGATGCTCCCCACAGAGGACAGTGGGAAAAGACCTACTACAAATGCCCCCCTGCAGGTCACCGTTGGAATGACCGTTCGCCATCTGGTCTGCACAAGGATCATCCTGAGTGTGAAAGGGCAAACAGGAGTGCACCAGGGGCTCCCTGCACACTGGGCGTCCGGGCCATGGAGTTCTCGGGGCTTCGCACCACTGCGAGGGGCAGCATGCCGCCCACACATGGTCAGCGTCTCCACAGTGAACGTCTAGCATATGTTACTCTGGTTTTCAAGGGAATGTAGATGCTATTATGATAAGTAGACATTTATTTAAAATTGTACTGCATCTGCAACAGCTATTTCTCCAGTACCAATAGGCTTCCCCAAAACACAACGATCATACAAATACTGCACTATCAATTGGAGAGGAGCCCTCGAGGTACAGAAGTCGGGGACGGCTGACATAGCCACTGGAGGACGTTAAACAGAGTCTGCATTTTGCATGGGGGCAGATGGGTGGAAGCAAAACCTGGGTGCTCTCAGTCACAGTTAAGGGAAGAGGCGAAGAGACTCTGGGCCAAGGCCAGGTCAGTGGGGAGGAGGCACAGCGGATCCAAGGAAGATTTACTAGGCGACGAGGACTGGCTGAGGAGGGAAAGAGGAGAGCCTAGGGTCCCGAACATGGCAGGCACAGGTGTGGAAGGACAGATGCTTGGGTGTCGGCCAAAGATGGCACATGAAGTTTAGGACACGACAGATGAGGAGATGGAGCAACCTGAAAGAGAGTTCAAGCTCTTATTTTTCTGTGAGAATTTAAAAACAGCAGCACCTATATAATGGGCATTTGAAACATACTCATCAAAATGAAGGCTTGCTGGTGACATAGCCCCAAATTAAGTATCACGATAACAAAATTATTACTGTTTTGAAAAGGTTAACTATCTGGCAAATAAATTCCAAAAAAATATATTCTCATAGGACATGCATATAGAAATCCATCAAGCTTTAATTTTATTTCCTTTATGAGTTACAGAGGGATAATTTTATTACAGACCTCAATTTACCAAAATATTAGATTCATTTAAAGGAGACCAAGTTAGGTATAGGTCTGGATTAGTCAATTTACTTCAAGAAAAAAGGAGGAAAAAAATGGGTAGTAAGTTTATTTACTGGTTCAGAAATTCAAAGGAAGATTTTTTTTTTTAATTATTTGGTTGATCAGCATAAAGGGGCAAGTTCAAAATTACAAAATACCATTGACACCGTGCCTCTTACTTTAATATGCAGTTAGATGCTTCCTGAGGATAGAGAAGAGAGAAAACAGTGTAAATGACTTTTTAAAAAGATTTTTTTAGAGAGAGTGCACGCGCACGTGTGCAGGGGGAGGAGGGTGGGCAGAGGGAGAGAGAGAATCTCAAGCAGGCTCGTCACTGAGCTTGGAGCCTGACACAGGGCTCAATCTCATGACCCTGAGATCATGGCCTGAGCAGAAATCAAGAGTCAGACACTTAACCGACTGAGCCACCCAGGCACCCACTGTAAATGATTTTGTATTCTGTTTCAAAGGTTACTGAAAAGGTATGGACAAAAGTTAAAGGCTAAAATCTTATTTTTGCTATAAATATTACATAGGGGCAAGTACAGGACCCTGTCCACAGTATATGCCCAACAGACAGCACAGATTACCCTGTAAATGTCTGGGCTACAGATATGAACAAATATAGACCCTGCTCTCAATAAACACATCACAACAGGTAACACCCACAGGCTTATGTACATGCTTTTACATCACAATGGCTAATGGTTACATAAAGCCTTCTGTGCATTAACACTCCTCACTGTGCTAAGCGCTTCACATATATTTACCCATTTAATTCCCAAAACTCCATGAGGTGGGTACTATTGCAAGTCTCATTTTATATAGGAAGCAACTGAGGCACAGAGAGGTTAAGTAACTTGCCAAGGTCACACAGCTAGTAATCAGCCGAGTTGTAATTCAAACTAAAACATCCTGGCTCTGGAGTCTATGCTCTTAACCACCACCCAGGGGACCTCTTATGTCACAAAAGGGAACAGAGTTCAGGAGAGAGGATGCTTTTTTCCCCACTAGTTGATGGAGAGGAAGGGGATCTATGAACCAAATCTTGAAAGGCAGGATGTGGCCCTGGGGAGACAAGAGTGGACACTCTCAGGAAGTAACAGAATGGAGTCAGTAAGGAGCGAGCTTATCGGGAGAACAGCCAGTGGTTCAATCTGGCCAGAGCACAGGACAGGTGGAGCAATGAGATCTCAGTGGGCCTCCAATGCTAGCAGAAGGAGTTTCATTCTGTAGCCAGTGGAAGGGCTGGGCCTGATGAAATGAGTACGGCAGTATCTCGTTAGATGGAGGAGAGGGGGAAAGATCAGGTAATGGGTTACCGAAACGAGGCAGAGAAGCCTGCCTTAGTCATCTCTGTCTCCCTAGCGCCGTATAAGACGGAGGTGCCAGTGCATTTCTGTTGGACTGAAATTTAAGAAAGGAGCAATGGCAGAGTGTGGGTGGTGGCAAGGACTGGAAAGAGGAGACGGATCTGAGAGGTAAAACTGTCAGGAACAGCACAGCATCATCAGATCCTGGGACCTGGGGCCTAGATGAGCAGCAGACATTAGTAGAAAAAAGGAACACAGAAGGAAGAGAAAATGAACTGGAAATATGAAAGAGAGAAACCACGATTAATGCTTGTCCTTACAATGCAAGATAAAAGGACAGAAGTAATGCTCTGGAGACCAAATGTTCCATGACTGACACTTCGTTTTGAAAAAAGAAACCAGGGCAAATGGACTTTTAGAACCATTTGGTGATAAAATCTGGAGAAAGCAAAGGAGATTTTAAGTAACAAAGGATGGCTTTCTGAAGTTCTAGGATCTATGAAGGAGAAAGGGGAGTCACTGTGACATTCAGTGCCGCGGCCACAGACTGAGGCAGGCCGGAGACTACAAACCACGGCCTAACAAACTGAAAGAGAGGAAGACAGCGGTGCCATCTAAAACCCCAGGAATAGACTGCTTTCACGTGAAGGGCACTCAAAAAATGCTTGCTTGCGTGGATCTTGTTGAACTGATCTGACCATTTTAATCCTAATCTCCAGAGGGCCACTCGGCCAAGTCTGGCTCCGGGGAGGAGGGGAGGAGGGGAGGAGGGGAAGAGGGGAAGAGGGGAGGAGGGGAGGAGGGGAGGAGGGGAGGAGGCAGGGAGTGGGAAGCCACAGGAGCGGAACTGTTGAGGCAGAGCCACAGACGAAGGGGAGCAGTGGCGGACGGAGGACCAACAGCTAACCATTCACTGTTTAGCTGAGTTTAGGAACAAGTGGGAATCGGAGAGACAGAGATCAAAAT